CCCCCCTTGAGCCCCCCTTGAAGCCCCCCTTAAGCCTCCCTTCGCCCGAAGGTCTGGGGCCCAGCCCCTGATTCTGCTATTCCACTGTAGTTTAGTGAAGGCCCACACAATCCGGTTAAATTTTTAAGACTGCAGGTCAAGCTTTCGTTGAAGCAAGTCAAGGGAGTGATTCGAGTACTGAATTCGTTTTGTTGGCTGTTGGTATCATTGGCATGGCAGTGTGATACACAGGCTCGATGCCCCACCAACGAGTGTCTAAAACATCTTTCTACCCCCAACCACGACTCAACCCTTCTGAGAACGAGAATTAATAGCATGGTGGAGGAACGTTGATGGGCGATAAAACGATGTTATTGCGTGCAGAATTTCAAATGCCTGAACTCGCATGTTATCTTATCCTCCCCAGTTCTACGAGGACTGGTCCCCTCAAAGCACCGCAATGGGGAGTTAATTTTCGGTGGGCCGGGGAAAACCAATCCCAGGTCTTGCCATGGATCTGTCCGAGCTTTCGCAATCGATGCAAGATGCACTCATGCTCAGGCACGGGGTGGACTTCACGATGAGGGTCTTAGGATTTGGGCTGTCAGGCTTGTAGGTTCAACAGAAATTGTCTTGTCAATGTCTGCAAGGGTTTGAAGGTGCAAGACGTCAGGCCTTTGTGACCATATCTTGATTTCATCTTTGTGCAGGTGCATTCCGACAGAGGGTGGAGATGTTTCGTCTGTGACTCCGGTGGTTGTTTCTGGACTGGCGCCACCGTGTACAGGAAGAGTTGGAGATTCTGGGGCTGGTTCAAAACCCTGTGGTGGCGTTGCTGTGGCCTGCCAATGCCACTGTGACCAAGAAAAAGACTCGACGCCGTGGGTATTCCACTGCCTCTGCCCTGCACCCCAGCCGGCCAACAACCTGCGTGAAGAATCCGGCATCTCCCTAAGTGTCCGAGACACAAGACAGCCCGTGGCCATTAGTGAAGTCAGTGGCGGTCGAGTGCAACATGGAGTTGGGCAGAGATATTCGACACACAACCTCGCACATATCCGATGCTGACAGGGCTGAAGACGTTACGTCGGCACGACAGCATTGGCAACATCAGCTTTTGCGGGCTTGTCCAAGCACACCGAGAATCCGGAGGCGCACCGCCAAGAAAAGCACCGTCGTCAACCAGCCAATCCTAGAGTTCAACGGCCCGGAGACTCGGAACCAAAACCACCCAACCAGGAGATCGCCCGTGACGACACGGCCAAGCGGCGCTTCCGGGTCGCGCTCGACAGGGCCTCGGTGCTGCGAGAGGCAGGCTGCCTTTAGCGGGCCGGCTTCGACCCCACCGAAATATTCACCGCTCAATGGTATGTTTTTGATTGCAATTGCTGAGACAGTGAGACGTTTTCAGGACGACTCCCTCATCCGATTCACCTGCGATCTGTGCCCCGGTCTTGATTAATCAGATGAATCGCTGCGCGAAGGCGTATCAGCGTTCTAACCAGGATTCAGCGCCTGCCGACTGTTCGGTGCAGTGTCTCAGGGGCTGGGCTTCTGTTTTTTGCTTGGTATCTTGCTTGAGTTACTGTGGGATGGGGTGTGGGCGATGTGAGAGCACGGCATAGTCACTCTCATCAGTAATTCCTTACGTGAAGTTGTCCAAGATCGCTGAGTCATCTGGAGGAGCTTCTTTTGGGGTTTGGGCTCGCTTTGCAAGGTCTAAACCCTGAAGCCCAAACCCCGGACCGTCCGTACCACATGTCAAACCATGAAGAGCCGTCGAAGGGAAGGTCTGATCGATCGCTGCTGGTAGTGGAGGAATTGGATGTTGGGTGGTGGTTTTATAGATTCCAGTGGCGCAGTGCTTCGGTGATTCCGAATGTTGAGTGTACTCCATACGGGGCCTGTGTATGTGCTCTAAAGTAGAAGATAAATATGAATGAGGTGGATTTAGGTAACGCATGCCACAATCTCAGCCAACCTTGGCATTCGACCTGACTAACAGGCCGTCCGTACTCTCGAATGGAATTCCATTGAATTCAATTACGTACCTGGCCGCTTTTTCGAGCACGTCGTCACATGCGGACCGACAAAACCTGACCCGGCAACATCCTGCAACCCAATGCCCTAATCCTCCTGCTGCCCGTTGCAGGTGCAGGAGCCTGCACGTCACCCATTGCGGACCCGATGCCTTCTCCAGGCCGGATAGCTGCTGCAAAGCTAGTGTGCCCTTGCGCCACCGCGACTAAGAAGAGGTGGAGTGTAGAAAGAAGTAGGGAAACAGAATCAGTCTCGCACTCGTAAGGTGATGCCGACGATGCTGATGTGAAAAACTCTGCATCGTAACTCTGAAACCAGAACGAGAAGAGTACTTCTCATCGCAAATAGGAGCGCAGTATCCTGAGCAGTTTGACGGATGCACTGGGAGTAGCCGAATCACAAGCAGAAGCAGCAGCAGAAGCAGAAGCATAAGTAGGAGGAGGAGTAGGAGGAGGAGTAGGAGTAGGAGTAGCAGTAGGAGCAGTAGCAGTAGCAGTAGCAGTGGCAGTAGCAGTAGCAGTAGCAGTAGCAGTAGGAGTAGCAGTAGGAGTAGGAGAAGCAGAAGGAGAAGGAGAAGGAGCTGTCGCTGTGGCTGTAGCCGTAGCCGTAGCGGTAGCAGTAGCAGCAGTCGTCGTCGCCGCCTGTCGAAACTGTACCAAGGATGTTCGTGGCCGAACTCGTAGCAGTAAGCGTTCTGAAACCTCGACCCCGTCGAACGACATTGCAGCAGAAAGGCGAGCAACTTTCGCACTGCCTACATCACGGAGACCGTCTGGAAGCCGAACGGCACCAGGTAACCAACGGGCAATGCACGGGCTTCGGATTCGGGGTCCTGGGTGTGTGTGGGTCCTCCCCAAAAATTATCTCCAAAACCTTTCCTTGACGCTTGAAACTTTCCCATTCCTAGGCAGGACAACGCGGAAGCCAAAGCGCGAAGCGCAGCCACAAGCGAAGGAAAGATGCGACACAACGCGCACCCCCGCAGGTTCCAGGAGATGTTGGCGCCTCCCGGGCCCGAGTCCCGGCCTTGCTTCGGCCTGGGACCATCCGTGGAGCGCCTGGGCGGAGGACACAAGGGCATAGAAGGGCCCGTTTTTTCAGAGCCCTAAGGGGATCTCTGTTGTAATCCTCATTGCGGCAAGGTCTCGGTTTGCGCAAGTTGGAGGGCTTCGGTTTCAGCAGGGCTTTGCAATGCAGGAGTGACTCATCCAAGGCATGTCGAGCAGAATTCGAGCGCTGAAGTAGAACCGTCATGTCAGAGTCTAAGCCCAGATGAGCATGTGGAGGTTTCGAAGATTGGAGCCGCCTAACATTCTCGTGTGCCCCAACGCCGCAGTTCCCCTGCCCGCGACATACCCGCTACTTGCACACTCGCCCTCTCTTGTAAGTCACTTACTTGAGTCCCATCGAAAGTCTCCGATCTCCGAGTGGAGTTCCCGAGAGTGGAGCTTCGGCAAGCCCGGAGCTCCAAGGGCTCCAAGGTCCCAGGAGCAGTCAGCTTTCAGCTGTGCTTGAGAAGCTCAGAAATCTGAAGCCTGAACCCAAGAAGGGCCGTTGAAATAAAAAGCCCGAAGCCTCAAGGTCCATGGACTTCTGCGACGTCCTGCTGGTGGGTTTCCCTGGCTTGATCGACGGGCGCGTGCTGCGCGCGCTGCGGTCGCTGCCGCGGCGCACGCTCATTCCGCTCATGCAGGAGCCTGGGTTCAGGGTCGTGCGGGTCAAGGGTCTAGCTGCTAGCTGCATCAACTCATGATAATGTATGCATAAGACCTTGCAGATGCTGGTGCCTTCTGCGCATCCCGAGGAAAGCATCGTGTTTCAAGGTTTGATCGAATACATCTGGACATCGCGTGTGCGCCTCTATCACTATGTCAAGTCCCTGCAAACAGTAGTCCAGCTTGGCATCCTGCTTCTGTGGTGGCAGAGGCATGGTCGAATGCGAAAATGTTCTTTTTGGTAGTCCCTCCGCTCGGAGGGTGTTCGAAGCTCAGATCTCTAGGCAATATTGCATCGCTGCTGCTGGAGAGGTTTGAAGCAGTGCCTTCGATATTTTTTGGATGCACATTGCTTCTGATGCTCAAGAGCATTCTACAGGTCAGGCGCGAAGGTGTGAAAACTGCCTCCTGTGCCCTTGCATAGCCTGCGTCTGCTGAGGACCCGGAGCCAGCAACTTGTGGCCGTCTACTGGGGCCTTTTCATGGGGATTCTGGCAACGCAGCTGTCCAGCCTTGTGCTGTGCCTCTGCCGACTGGAGCTTCCCTACATCCGGGCTGTCTTCCAGTCAGGCGCGACCCGTGTGGACACGTCTCTGAGGTCAGGTTGCGCCAGCATTTAACGTCATCCAGCATGTGCAGTGTGTTAACGCCCGTCGTGCACCACATGTCGAGTGTTTTCGAGTGATGTCCTCGGTCGCGGAGCAGCTGACTGCGAAATGCAGCAACTCTGAGATTGCCAGCTATTGAACCAAGTCCATCCCAACGCTGTGAGGCTATGGCTTGCGTCTAGTCTCAGCCAGCTGGGGTGCCTGGTACCAACTCCCATTGTCAGAGTACAAGTCACCCCTCGCAGTCAACGTGGCATTATGTGCCGAGGCTCAATTCGGAACGACATGCAGCTTGAGTCAGCGGGAGATTGGGCTCTGGCTAGTCTCTGTTACCCACTGTCAAGAGACCGTAAGGTTGGAGAGCGCTTCTGCCCCTTCATGGACCACAAATCCCACCCTGTCCACTAATACTAACTACCAGTTGTTGATTTAAGATGTTTATAGGTGGGAGGGAGTGATACTCGATCTTATCATTGCTCAGTGCTTTATTCTAAACCATTCATTTTCCCAAGTTCCTGCGGTTGCTGCAGCCTGCAGTTTCTGGGCAGTGCTTGCAGTCCTTCGTTCCTGCAGCACCTGCAGGCTCCAGTTCTTGCAGTCTTAAAGGAACCATAAACTCTGAGAGGGAAAGGAGCCCAACTCATATGCTTTAAGACACACTCGCTCTTGCAATCCCTCTACTTCTAGGCGATTCCAGTCTCTCCCGAGTAAGGCTAACTTGTACTGTAGTGTTGCTGCTTAGAAACTCCTCTTGTGGCGCATTCCGGGCCAAGTGAGCTCCGACAATAATATCAAGTACAAGAGTGAAGTTTAATAATGCGGGGAAGAGATGACACACCTGTATGATATAGACACATATACATATTCAAGTTTGTATGATTATATATGTATACATATAAATATACATATATAGTTAGTTCAAAGCATATATATATATATATATATATATATATGTGTGTAGTTGTATGTATGTTTATAGAAATATATATAGGGGTGTATGTGTGTATATATATATATACACATACATATGTACATATACACATATACACATATACATATTTACATTTACATGCATATTTGTATTTAGATCTATATTGATATTTATGCTTTTATACCTATACATGTGAACTTCGTCATCTGCATCTCTGTCACTGGCTCTGTGTCCATTTCTGCGTCTTTTTGGAGGGTCCGCCTTTCTGTGGTCTGTTTCCCACCCTTCGTCCTTCTCTCTCTCTCTCTCTCTCCCCTGCCTTCTTTTCTTCTTCTGGTCGGTTTCTTCTCCCGGCGTTTTGAGGCAAATACAGTTCGAGGGGGGCATATATCGAAGCTTGTGCTGTCCCAAAAGGAGAAAGGGACCATCTGAGGTATCACTGTTATTGTCTACGACTGCCGCGTTCTGAAGCCTTTTGGCCTTCCTGTCGGCCAAAGCCTGCTGCCAATCCTCAACGCTGCCGGCAGTCTGGAGTTTGCAGCTATGTCAGCAGTGATAAGTCTGGCGCTTCTGGCCACGTTCCTCTACGTCTGCATTGAGTTTGAGGCTGCTTGACAGAACAGGCCATTGTGGACTTTGTTTGCAAGGGTTCCTAAGGGTCTTAGGTCTTGTCTACGACCACGAGATTGCAGCTGAAAGTGCGTCAGCTGAGGAAGACCTGGGATTTCCGTCCAATGCCTTCCAGACCTGGCAAACTCTGATGGTTGGTGAGCCAACGTTGGTTGACTCAAGAATTTCCTCGCAGGATGTGATTCGCTATCTTTCTGTATCCGCATGTTTCCTTGTGTGCAACACCGTGTTGATGAACATCTTCATCAACGTGACGGGTGCGTCGTATCTGCAGGAACGAGCCAGTGTTGTGGGCACATTTGCCGTGGAGCGGTTGCGTATTTGTGTGGCAAGCACGTCAGTCTCCGCTTGTGTGCGGCATTCTGTCATGGGAGCCTTTACTCTCGTCTGGTCGCTATGGCTCACCTACCTTCTGCTCACCGCCGAGTTCTCGGGCGCTGTGCCCGTGATCGTTGCCACAGTCACCTTTTATGCTACGTTCTTCTGTGCCGGGCGCGCAGCGAAGGCAGCCGTGGCGGACCTAGATTCAGAGAACTCCGAGCTGCGGTATTTGTGGATTTGCCGCCGGGCCAATCGACCGGGCGCCGCCGTGGCCTCGCAGACCCGGCGCGGGCAGCAGAGCGCCCTGGAGCAGGTCAGGGCACTGCAGGCCCGCTTCGGGAAGGCCAAGGACGAAACCGAGTCGGTGGTGGAAGTTTGAGCGACGCTTTGCACAAGCCTCGTAGGATGCTCTTCTAGTCGGTGCCGGAAAGCATGGCAAGTGCAGCTTCACTTAGTCGCAGCACTGCCAGCTTCGGGTCGCGTAAATGCCCAAATGCTTTGCAGGCTTTGGTGAGTTTTCAAGCTCTGCGGCCGGATGGCGAAAGGTTCAATCCAGCACGCATAAAGAAGCCACGCAAAAGCGTTCGAAGCTTCGCCCGCAAAGGCAAGAAACGTGAGACGACATGCCATTTATCGGCGAGCTTTAGGGTTGACGGTTTTTGTCTTCGGCAAAGTCCAACCAGGTGCTCAGAGTCAGCCAGCGCTCATCCAAGGTGAAACTTAATATCCACTTGTCAAAACTAGATCGCACTGCGTTGACCCCCTTGAGCTTCAGCAGGTCACGGTCACACTGTGAAGAGCTAGCGTCGAGGAAACAGTGGCCTTTGTTGGGAAATGAGCCTGTACAGGCGGAGAATATCGAAGATTTGCGGTTCCGGCTTCCCCAAGATCAGATGGATCTTGTGCTTTCCGATAGTAGCCAGAACTTCGTAGGTTAACGACATGTGTTGGTCTAGCAGTGTCGTGGCCAATCGTGCGATCTGCTCCTGTGACAGGCCGTTGGGCCCAAGAAGCAGAAACCATGGCACCAGCAAACATGTCAGCTGCCTGCAGCAGCAGGAACAAATGTATTACACGAGTGGCTTGAATTTTGAAACTAGGCTTGGTAATGCGAGAAGCTGTAGCGGTAGCGCGTCTTTAAGCCCACTCATCTTGGAGCCAGCAAAAGAGTTACAGCTCCAAATGCGGTTCCGTCAACGCGGATCACCCACTAAGATCGCCAGCGACTTCATGACAGGCTTCAAGATTTCGCAGGAACAAGCTGCACAAACGTGCCCACCCCTCTATATCGACTCTGCCGCCATGGGCGGAGGGCCCGGGACTTGGAGATGTCTCAGCTTCCCAGAAAGCCCAGCGTAGGAATGGTCGCTTGTGCGATCTTCGGCCGCGTCCAGACATGGGGTGGTGGGTGAGGGCGTCTTGTGCTCCTTGTCTGTGCAACCGTCTGCGTGCCTCAAACAACGCCATTGCATTGCAGCCTCTCGTGTGGGCTCAGTTTCAAGAACCTTCGCTTGGTGTCTCTTTGCATTTTGTCCACCCTGCTGGGTGTAGCATCGAAGCTGCAGGTACAATGACGGCAAAGGTCGAAAGGCAGCTCTGCCCCGCGACGGCTGCATGGGGGTGCCAGTCGGGCTGCGATGAGACTGAACTTGGTACTGGGCAATGCCTCCGTTTAACACGATTGTTTGAGGATGCTCGCTACAGAGCCAGAGGTCTTACGTTCAGACTCCTGTGCGCTGGTCTTCCTTTACTTTCTGGTGGCATAGTAGCAAAGGCCTCTGGAACAGGGTTGTCAAGACCCAGCTTGCGAAGCTCACAGAGATGCCTGATCGTCATAGCACAGTGCGAGGTACCCCTACATGTCCCTACATATCTCCACGAATCCCTTCGCCACTTGTGCTCTCCCTTCACGCGCCAGGGAGGAGGAGGCGCGTTCCAGTCTCCGTGAACGGCCGAGGGTGCTGGGTGTTGGTGAACGGGCTCGAAGGCTTTCCAGGAAGTGCGGTTTTGTCAGGGAAGTGTGGAAGTCGGGATGCGGGGTAAACGGGTAGACATCCAATTTCCTGGGCGTCACGCCTTCATGATTTGAAGTCAACCAGGGAGGCTCCTTACGACATGACCTCATGGAAAATGACTCCCTGTAGTACCCTGTAGCATTCAATCCTACCAGAGACGATGTTTTTCTCCTGGAAGAGCCGTCTAGAGTTGTCACGGGTTCGGTCCTCAAGTCCTCAAGTACTCCAGTCTTGTTACCTTTGGAGGCTTCGGGCTTTCTGCGCCCCAAGCTGGATTTGGGTTTGGTCATCTGAACATGCGGAGCTCCGCCTGGCAAGCCAGAAAAGCAGCTAGTGCAGGCAAAGGTGGAGAGCGCCGCAGCCTTCCCCACGCCCGGCACTGTCGCGTTTTCGGGATGTAAGACTTCAGTCAAGACTCAAGGGGGTTGGGGTTGATCGAGGGCTTATAGCTTGTGCTGGCTTCGGGTTTCATTGCCAAATCTTTCTCTTGTAGGTTCACTTGCACCTACGATGGTTTCATGTCTGCAAAGGAACCGAGGGCTTGCAGCGCTGTGTTTACAAGGGCAGTGGATCTTTACAAGCTTGAGTGTTTGAGGTTGTGGCATGTTGTGGAAAGCAGAGGCCCCGAACCCGAAACAACTTGCACGACCAGGGGCCGCATTTCAGTCCGACGAATGCTTTAGCGGATGCCAAAACTCGCAGCTGCCAGTTCGTTCCTGCGCGGGGCGGCGGCGAGTGGGGTGCGCCTGCGAAGCTTGTAAGACAGTAAAACACTGCAAGTCGCGAACCTTAGGCGTGCAGCCTTCCTGTTGAAAACTTTGCTTGGCTGGACTGGCATTTTCCTCGTGGAGGAGTCTTGCTCTGCTTAGGGTTTCGGCTTCGGGTCAGGAAGTCTCATTCCTCTAAGTCCATGACACCTAGGGTGCAGTTCCCTAAATTAGGGTCCCTTTCAGGGTCCATTTTATGAGGGTGCCGTAATAACGTTGGGACCTAAAGAGCGACCCAATTTAGAGAGTTACCCATGTGTTTGGCCCACGTGTTGCTCTTTAGGCAGTGCAGATGCCAAAGGTTCCCTCCCCACAGCAAACCAGGGCAACTGAGTTGATCTACCATCCTTATCATCGCCGCATGGCTTCACACGTTCCACGTCTTGTGCAAGCTGCAAGGCAAGGGGACACAATCCATGACCGAGCATGAAACACAGGTGCGCGCAGGCAACGCAGACGGACCTTCACAGTGTCACATCAAGCTTGCGAAAGAAGGAGAGGGTCCGCCCGAAACCCTGGGACGATTAAACCTGAACCGTGTCGTTGGATGCAGCCAGGTAAGAAGGCAAGACAAGCGCAGCAGGCGGCGATAAAGGACGAGAAGACAAAGCGGGAGGTGTCGATGGGCGTTTTGGCCTTGCGCTGGGTTCATTCTTGTTTAGGCTTTCGTTGGCTGTTCCTGATGGTTTCGTTTGGAAAGTGTCGGACTGGGAACTTGAGACCGCTACCTCAGGGCCTCAGGACTCACGCGAACTCGGCATCGGCCACCGAAGCTGTCAACGGCAAGACTTGGCCTGTGCAAGGTGGATTACTTCTGGCAGCAGCAGGAGTACTTCAGCGGGGGGGTGCTGCCTCCATGTTGCCTTTGTGGCTGTGCAGGCTCCATGCTTCCACCCATCGGGGTTCGGGTGATGAGCGCGCTTCAACCACGACTTTCGTATGCCAGGGAAAAGGACGAAAAGGCAAAGGCTATCAGGACCCGGCGCGGCTTCGTCTGTTCTCACGTGGTTTGTAGCGCTGAGCCCCTACCTCCTCAACAGGTCCAGGCAAAGGTGTCCGAGACCATCCCCTCCAAACCCCAACCCCGGGGCACTTGCTCAGGATTCTTTGTGCAAGGAAACTGGGTATACTCAGCTCAAGCCTGGTCAAGCTCAGAGGAGACAGCCGAGCAGCTTTTCGGCGCCCAGCGGGAAAATGTCGGCATCGACTTCGACAAGTGCCCGCGTTTGTGGCCGAGGGCTTCTAAGGATTGCGGAAAGATTCCGCGAGTTCTTTAAGGTACGACGATATCCCCGTCGACCTCTCGGGCCAAGGCGTCGGCGCCTCGCGGCCTCGCGGAACCTCCCCGAGCTTCTCCCTTTGATCCGAGAGCAGAGCTGAGCGCCCGAGGCCGAGGAGATCGAGGGCCTGGAGAACTTCGACGAGCTCTGGGACCGCCGACAGGGTTTCCACAGCAGGGAAACGGGTTCAGAAGATCCCAGAAGCTTGACCCTGCATATCGCTCAAAAATCAAACTTAAAAGCATCCAAGCTCGTGACAGGACCGGTTCTACATGCATGATTTCCTGTGGGACAACCTTGAGAGGTGCCATTATCGCAAGCTCCGACCTCAGCAAACGTAACGTGCTGAATTAGCCTTCAGGGCGTAGACTCCCACATGGCAAGTGGACTGTCATGAAGCACATGGCTGCCTGCACACGTCTGCTTGACCCGGATAGTCGCAATTTTGGAAGTCAGCAAGCCAGGCCCACTCCCATCCAAAAATTTGCGCTTCCAGCGGCACTGACAGGGAAGGCGTGTGCGGTGTCAGGGGATTAAAGTGCGGATTCGATGCTGTCTGTTTTCCGTTATGTGTTGCCAGGAATGTCCGGTTCAGGACCCTATGGGTGGTGCAACTGGCTGACTAGCTTGAACAGCCTCGGTCGAACCTGTCAACATCTGAAAGACGTGCACTGATTTCCGAAGCTGAAGCCCAGAGATCCCGGCGACTCGTGTAGGACTGCATGTGCTGCGCGCAAACCGGCTCAGGCACGGGGGAAGAGTCGGAACTCCGAGATTTGTGCGGTGCTGTTTAGCTTCGGGTTTGGACCTCCAGCTACGATCTGACAGTGGTCTGAAAACCGCAACACAGCAAATCCGAAAGTCCGCTTCCCCCAAATAAAACATTAAAGAACGTCATGTCGTCACAGGCAAGACCTGTGCCTTCCTCCTTCCCATCCTCAGCTGCCTGGACCTCACGCAGGCGCGAGGGATTCCGGAGATTTTGCAGGCTTCACGACCGACATGACCCGTATAGAAGCAGTCTCTACACTGGATTCCGCACGCCAAGCCTGAGTACTTGACCCTGAGATGCCTTGCAAGGCCGCAGGCACCGTGGGTACAAGCCCGGGAGAGCCATCGGCACCCAAGGCCGTTTTTTCGTCTTTATTTACGTAGCATGGGCCGACTCGACTTAGTGTACGAGGTTGCTGGGGTTCGCAGGGCAGGGTGCCGAGTCAGATTCACGTACCATCATGAGGTCTGACCCGGCTTCGCAATGAAAACCAGAGGGTGCATCGAGCTGCCATTTCAGATGATACCGGCGGCTGGCTGGACTGAAAGAGCAGCCATAGCTGCTGCTGCTGCTGCTGCTGCTGCTGCTGCTGCTTTGAAGTTGCTGTAGTTGACGGTGAGTGATGATGATGAAGACGATGATGATGATGGTTTCAAAAGTAGGGTGATCCGTCTTCATCTCCATGATCACAAGCATCCTCAGCATCATGTTCACCCCTGCAGTGTTGGACATGGTTGAATGGTGGGGAGACATCCACACAATGTGCATAGTACTCTTTATCGGCAGGAGAAATGAACCAGCCAGCAGAGGAACATCCATTTTCTCTCCCTGTTGGGCGAGGCGGTGGTTCTGGCTCCGACGCGTGAGCTCTGCTCCCAAATCCACCTCGAGGCTGCTTCAGCTTCATGTCGTCGTCTCTCTGGTGCGGACGTGGGTCTTCCGGTCTTCGTGGGGCACTCTTCAGCCCGTGGCCTTTGGGAGGCGGCAGGAGATGTTTCAGAGGTGAGGTTTTGGGATTCTTGCTGGAAGAATTCATCCCTCTCGGGTGCATGTGCACTCGTGTCACTCTCCGGAAAGAAACAGCTGCTTCCCCCAAGCCGGATTCACGATCGTGTACATTGTCGATTCAATTTGAGCCGTGACAGCTCGAAGCCGATCTGATGAACGGGCCTGCGCCCCGCCCTCTGTGAGGCCAAGAAGCTGTCCTTCAAATCTCCGGTGCTGCCGACATGCGTTCAAGGGAACTTCGGTAGCATCGGTGTTTCCGGGCCCCAGTGTATGACCCACACTCCCGCAGTCCCCAATCCTTCCTGAATCTGTCACCATAATATGTGCTCAAGATCTGTCCAGCAAAGCCTCATTGCAACCCCGAAGCTTTTAAAGTAGAAACTATAAGCCCGACAGCCTACAATGCGAACCGTTGCGAAGCCTGTCAGCCCCCAGCGGTCCAGCTCACGCGGAGCGAAACCTTCGTCAGGTACGAGCCGGCGAAGTCTACGGCGGCGTGGACGCCAGACACTGAACATCCAAGGGTTCCGTCTGCTTTGTAGAGAGAGTTTCGTGCTTGATTTGACTTAGCCTGAAGGGTCCAGGATGTTTTCGGGTTTGCGAGATCGTCACTTCGGGTTCATGACTGTAGATCTGCGGGTTTTGGCAACACGGCAGTGAGAAGTTGGCAGATCTCAAAGCGTCCGAGGCAAAGCCGCAGCTCCTTGACCTCGCTCGAGGCTCCACCTTAGGTCCAGGGTTCATCGGTTCCTCACTGTGTCCGTGCCTGCTCGTTTTCTCATCCCCAACGCTCCTTCCCAATATGTAACTTCAGGCGAGATGCATCAGCAATATCTCTGCGGCCAGTTTGGGGATGTCTAGATTGTATGCGAAGCCTGAGAGAGGAAAGAGGGAAGCGTCAAACGCAGAACGGAGCAACACCCGCAAGAAGCCTGAAACTCGAAGCAACAGCAAGCCGGCCACCCAACATCCTGCAGCTGGCGAGCAGGAGTCGATATTGTGACGGCCACACCCGGCAGTGGCCTTGGGGAACTTCTGGTGGCCACTGCAAGGGCATCGTACTCCTAAGTCTCGTGCCATCTCCGTGAGGCCGCCTTACGGACTTCATCGACCGCGGTGTCATCACCATGTGCTGGGCTCGGCGCGTGCGGGGGGATTTGGTGGAGTTCCGGATGAGCGACCCGAGATGACGAGTTGAGGTTCATGGCTCGGGCCCGGGTGGCTGGAAAAGGGAAGCAGCCAACCGGCATCCCAGCCCCTAAACTCCAAGCTCGGAAATCCCGCACCCCCGGGACCTACTAGTAGGCCTTTTTCCCCCAGCGCATCGCAACAGAGGTGCAATGTGGGCTTCCTGGTGCTGGACGAGGTGCCGTTCGTCATAGATAGCCCTAACGTCCAAGCGAGGAAGCTACTTGTGCGTTCTAGCCGTAAAGCTTCGTTCGAAGCCCCAAAGAAAGACCAAAGGTTTGGAATTCGTGTGAGGGTCCCTGCCCTGGGTACGCTAAGCGGAAGTTCAGAGAATTGGGGTGAAGTATCTTGGTGTTGAGGAATTCGAGCCTTCAGTGTAGCAACAAAGGGAGGGAGAGAAGCATAGAGTAGGCTCATGGACTTGATCGTTGCTTTGGAGCCCTGAACTCTCGTTTCACCGGGCTTTGGGATCAAGTGCCTTAAACGTCGTGGCATCAGCTCCGTTAAATGATGGGGATAGGGTTGAATGACAAGCCAGGCAGGCCCCAAATCGTCCACGCGACATGTTGCCCCGGCGTTGATCTTCCTGATGTTGTTCACTGGCTGGAGGCCGACCGCATGCTGGACATGGGCTTTGAGCCGCAGATCCGCGAGATCGTTCAAAAGCGTGTGCGCTGGCTGAAAGTATTCTCATGAGGTCGCAAAGTTTTCCCCTCTTAGCGATCTGTGGGTTAAGAGGTCACGTGACAGATGATGTTGCATCGTACTTTCACCAAGTTAGTTTTCAGCAGCGGCTACATACGACCGACATGCGCTTTAAAGGGATCTAAAGAGGGCACGGGCCTGGAACCGGTTGGGGTCTACCATCTAGTGTTAAATCGCAGACACTTCTGCATAGAAAGCATCCCGGGGTCAAACGAGAACGACTTGACTCGAGCCTGACCCGCCTTTCCCTTGTTAAAGCAGCAATTCTCGACACAGGGTGTGAGCGCCCTCGATTGATCTGCCCGGCGTGTGCCACACGCCTGAAACAGGCGAACAGGTCAACCAGCGCAGAGGGTACTTGTAGCCAAATTGGCAGTGCTCCATACACTGCAGGATACGTGGGGCGCATCAACGATAAGCAAGATTCCAGGTTCCCCGTCTGTTCACCTGCTTCCATGTAGATGCGTTATCCTTTTGTCCTGACACGCTAAGAAGCCCCGGCCGTCTGTGCCCAGGACATGCCATCCTGTCGGGAGGCCACCGTCACGGTTGGGCTTGCTTGGAGGTCTGGGCTTCTCCCGTCTCTACCTCGAGTACTGATCACTGCCTGAGCTGCTCCTGTACAACCAGCCACGCTTGGTGATAGAACTGCTGTGGCAAGGACCCAGAACTTTCAGTCTTTGGTCCCAGTTATCAAACCCCGCTAGGAATCCGAGAATCGCTTGTAGTACTGGTATCCGACAACGCCAGAGTCCCTCCCACGAAGTCGGTCCTCTCAGGGCCGCATGACGCTGATGTTCTCCGCGACCTTCCCCAAAGAGATCCAGAAGCTCGCGCAAGCCTTCATGAGGCCGGGAGGGAGCACAGCGTAACCTTCTCCGACGGTATCGCGAATCCCAGAAAGGTGGACCATGGGTTTAGGAGGATTAGTGTTGGGATCCCTTAATCCTGTTCCGACTTTCTGGTTTCCACTCAGGAGCTACATCTGGATCGGCGTCGGGCGTGTGGGTGGCGCGGTGGACACGGCGGGAGCCCTCGGAAGCGACTCTGGGAGGATTCGGCTTTGTTCAGGGAATGTTGGGGAGCACCTGCACAGAGGCTTGGGGGCTAAAACCCGGGAGCGTTTCTCAGGTGGAGCAGACCTTCATCGTCACCGGCAACCGAGGCAAGGGAGCCCTGGGAGCTTGGGAAGAAGTTCGGAGGGCCGCCGGCATACTGCCCCTATGGACTCCTCGTAGATTCTTCTGAAGCCTGCAAGAGCACTGTGTTCCCAAAGAGTGCTCCTGCTTGCAAGCCGACCTGGCGGAAGGCAAGCCTGACGTCTTGACCAAGGCTGCTGGGGAGGGGCCTATCTACGGTGCCGGGATTTTACAATTTATCGGGTTTGCCTTCTACGAAGTTTGCACATGCGACGATTGGCGTCGCTACGGGATCACTTGAATTTTGACGATGCAAGATGACTTGCCTTTCTGACTAGCCGTTCTTACTGCTCCTCTTCTCTTCAGAACTCCAGTTTGGGACAACAGGGTCTTCTTCGGCAGGTCCTCAACACGAACCCCACGGATTCCACCTTGATCTTCGTGGCCATGAAGCGCACGGCCGCCTGGTTGGAGGCTCCCGGCACCGTCGGGATGATCTTTTCGGGGCGGGGAGGTAGCCGGGGCTGGTGGAGTGAGAAGTTGGGGCTCGACATGCCAATGTCATGGCGTGAGGTGTAGCAGGTGTGGGAGTTTCTGGAGTTTCAGAGTTTGAAGGCACCGATTTGGTGTGCGAAGCTTTGTTTTGGGCCTTGGGTGTACAGGCCTCCGTCTGTTGTTGAGCTTCTACGAGGCAGAAGGTGCAGTCGTTGAAGCGATTCATATAGGTCGGTGGGGCCTCCTTTCGCGACTTTAAAGTTAGACTTCTATGCAGAACAAACGAATGGTATCCCCTGCAGCTCGAACTGACGAAGAAACCGGAAGGCACGCGAGGCCCTAGCAAGGCCAAACCGCATACTTCCAACCCGAAGCCAAGACTCTTGAAGTAGACTCCTGATTTGTGGGCCTTCTTTCTGCAAAGGCCCTAATGCGGCCCTAAGGTCCTAAGAGTAGTATCCTCACTTTTTCAGGGAGGGAGTTGAGTGATCTCACCGGCATCTGTCCTTCAAGACCTTCCGCGAAACCTCACACCTAATCCGAGTTGCCGAATCCGGCCCCCTCCAGCCACAGTGCCGAACCAGATTGAACACAGCTCGCAAGCAGTTTTGTAGTTCTGTCTTCTGTCTTCTGTCCTTGGTACTGGTTTGCCTGCAGCTTTTGGCCGCGTTTTGGTCCCAAACCCCGAATCGTAAGACTGTCTGCGCCGTGGTGGCAGGGGCATCTCACTCGCATGGGCTACAACGCCGCGGCAATCCATGGTGACATGGACACAGCTGCTTGGGAGTGTGTGCGCGTCTGTCGAGTTCAACGCGAATCCCTAGGGTTCCAGGCAGTTGCTTAGCCTGGAGGTCCAGGCTCCTAGGCGAATAAACCGGGAATGGGAACAGCAGCCCAGCGGTTAGCGAGGAGCAGCGGGAGCGCGAGCAGTCCCTCTCCACATTCAAGAGGCTGCCTGCTGGAAAGGGGGGCTTGGGAGCCGAGCGCTTTCAAGTGACCGAGCTAAGGCTAAGCTGCAATATCGGTAACCCGACCCGGGTCTAGCCCAGCACGGCACATGCGCCCCTGCACTACAACCAGCCTTCGTCTTTGCAGTGGGAAGAGCACCTTCCTTGTGGCCACGGATGTGGCTGCCCGTGGCCTCGACATTCCGAAGGCCTTCCTAGGTCCAGGTTGTGCGGTTTGGGGTAGTGGCCTTGGATCTCGCTTGGGGGATTGAGTTTTCTTTATGGCAGGTCTTGCTGTTGTATTGATGCCTGCAGTGCCACGAGAGTCACGAGAGTTTTTGAAGATGTGTCAGCCAATAGGTCTCGCACGTCATCAACTACGACCTGCCGCAAAACATTGACTCCTACGTTCACCGGATCGGTCCGCCCCTCGCGCATTCAGCACCGTCCTGCGCCTGGGTCCTTTGTACTATCCGCCGTCGTTTATCCGGAGAAGCCTCTTTGAGTTGTGTTCCACATCCACCATCTCAGGCCGGACCGGACGCATTGGTAACCACGGTTGGGCCACCAGCTTCTATGCCGAGAGCCGAGCTCTGGAGTGAAACTCGAGTAGGCAGGGATAGATTGAGAGATGAACCTCCTAGCTTGAGGTCCCGGCACACGATGGCCAGCATTCCAATGCCAATGTCGTCAAAGGCCTTTTTCGGCTTCGCAGTTTGTGACTTCCGACCGTATGCAGTGGCTCTCGAAGCCAGTGACCAAAATGCCTTCCTTGTGTAAGCCCTTCGCAAGCTTCGGAGTCTCAAGCTGTAAGCCAAGGGGTGTACCTCACCTTTGTCCTAACTTGATTGAATTCTGACAGCCTGTATGCCTCAACTCGAAGCCTTGAAGCCCCAGTTGGTTTGAAACCTGGATGCTTGCCTTGCTTCTGTGCAAGAAAGATTGTCACCCATCCTTTACCACAAATAAAGAGCACAAATGCTAGACGCCGAAGGCACTTGTGACGAAGTGTGGCAGTCTTTGGAAGGCATCCTGCTAACTGGCCCATGGCAACCAGAGCACATCCCCTGCCGCCAGAACTCGTGGCAGTTTTGGAGGGTGCTGGGCAGGATGTGCCCGAGGCACGCAGAGAGGGAAGCTTCTGTCGGCAGCGGCTGGCAGGGTGGCAGGGAGATACCCTTAGGTCTTGTTTGCTGTTTTTGTCATCACGCAGTTTGCAGTTTGCAGTGCATCTCATTCAAAAATTACAGGTGTTCTGGCGGGAAGTCTGCAGCACGACTTAAGAGTGGTTGTGCTACAACCCTGAAGCCATTGAGAACTTCAGCAACCCCAATCCCCTCAAACACCGACTTTGACACGGCATGCGCTACTGCTTCAGAGAGTTATTAGAAGAACCCAAATGGTGACCGGTATCATCCAGGAGTTGAAGCAGGAGGCCTACAAACAGGCACCCGGATTTGGGGGTGGTGTCTTTTAGGCAAATTCCCACATTCCGGCCAACTTAAGCTGCTCACGTCACTAAGGGTTTTTCGGAGCCTTTTCAGGTTTTCGGAGCCCAAGCCCGAACCGTCAGAACGAGTTCGCTCTGTCCCCAAGTCCCCGGCTTGAGCAATAGCTTTGTGCTTGTAGTGCTGTTCTCCATTCTGCAGCCTGATGTGTCTAGCCCGAAGAGACTCCACTGTTGAGCCAGGGCTACCAGAAGAACAAGGGTGGCAAGGGTGAGCGCCTGCCTGGCGAGTTTGGAGCCGCAGTCGTACCCTCCAAGACTGAGACAGTTTCACTGTGTCTCTGCATCTGGATCAAGGACCGTGTCAGGGTTTCCGAGAAACGAGCATCTCGGATCCTCTCAGAGTTGAAAGGATTAGTAAACCCAGACTGTAAGCGCCAAAAACCGAAATCAAACCCCAAACCTAACATCCCACCAGGACTCACCGTCCATTGCCTCGACCAAGGTAGCAGTAGTACCTCATGGAGCCCACCCCAACTCCTGCTACTGCCGCACTTGTGCTGGCGCTGGTGCTGGTGCTGGTGCTAGCGCTAGTGCTAGTGCTAGTTCCAGTGGCAGTAGTAGTGGAAAAAGTAGTAGTAGTCGTAGTAGTAGGAGGAGGAGTGGTGGTAGTAGTAGTAGTAGTAGTAGTAGTAGTACTAGTACTACCAGTACGACTAGTGCTAGTAGTAGTAGGCGCCCCCCCCTA